CAATCACTTTTTGCACATTATTAAAAAAAAATAAAAAATTTGATAAATTGATAAATTTAAATGTAAATTTGATCTTTTATATATATTTTATATATATATATATAGTTATATAGTAGATGTTGCTTGTATATGTTGTTTGTATATCTGGAGTTTGTAACAAAAATAATTTCTCCCTGGGATTATTAAAGTATTTCTGATTCTGATTCTGATTCCATGCACACAGACTCATTACACTGCACAGCATTTGTGTCTGTAGGGCTTGACTGAAGGTTTGAGGAAGTATGGCAGAGGTCAGGAAGTAGAAAGCTATGTTTAAAACATGTTTTCTGGACAAAGGATGCTTTGATTTCCAGATTTCCGGATTTCCGCCCCTGCATGAAGCAATTCCCACTCAAACAAGAAGCAGCTCGAAGGTATTTAACATGTTTTTGATTCATTGTTACAGGTTGGAGTCATTGTTCCCTGCAACGATTCTCCTGTCCACACGCCCATTTTCAAATCTGTGACAAAGGTCAACCAACCAAGTGGCATTTTGGTCAGGAACCTACAAGCAGTGAATGCTTCGGTGCATCTTCGTGCACCTCAAGTTTCATACAATTATACAATTAATTCTGCTCAATGTCACGAATTTCTCCTCGATATGATCTGTAGCCCATCAAAAGAAGCATGCAAATGTGACACCATTGTATTCAGTTCACATACATATTTAGATATACATATATAGATTTTATTTTCCACTAAGTTTCTGCTGTGTATGTCTATATGTATATAGTATATATTTTTTGTTTCGTTTTGTGCAAATATTTATTTTTACACCATATGGTGTAAAAATAAATATTTGCATCCTGCTGTAACCTGTGCAATCTTCCATATCAATTACATCTGTATAAAGCTGTATATAGCTGTATATGCATATATAAAACATTTAGCCTACAATAGGCATAAGACTAGCCTGTCTCAACTGCAGTTTGCTCAAACATGTGTAATATATCTGGGAAGTTATTCAATCCGTGCCAAAAGTGATAATATGAGTTACCCTCTCAAAAATGATTAGTAACATTGCTGGAACAGCTGGAAATATTCCATTCATTTTATTTTAACAAACAAAACTGGATTTTAAATTGTCGTAAGTCTGAATTTTGGGGAGAAGAGACAGTTACTAATTTTGTGGGGAGTAGCAGAAAAGTTATATTACTGTTTGCAGGGAGTAATATAGTAATAATACTTTTTAAGAGTAATGAGTAATACATTTGTTTTTGACTAACTAGCCCAACAACGTCGGTAAATTCCACAATCAGTGGTAAAAGGTTGAAATGGTAATAGACTGTACTTATATAGCGCCTTTCTTGTTGTTCGACCACTCAGTGTGCTGCACACTACATGCCACACTCACCTTCACACACATTCATACAGTGATGGCAGTGGCTGCAATGCAAAGTGCCAACTGCTCACCAGAACAGAAACTAATCATTCATACACACTCATGTGTATGAGCATCAGTGTCTTGCTCAAGTACACTTCGACATGCAGTGAGAAGAGCTAACCTTCCGATTAGTGGATGACCTGCTCTACCTCTGAGCCACAGCCGCCGCCCTAAAATAAATATTAATAAGAAGTGAGTGAAAGAAGACAGGCGATTAGCGCTGAAGCAGATTTCTTTACTGAAACAAACAAATGAATTTTACAAAATGCTTGAATGATAATCTGGAAGTTCAGTTATATCTCTTCAGGAGGAGACAACAAGAACAGACAGCCCGTCTCCTGGTTCAACAGGCAACATCTTAAAATAGACTACATGACATTTACTCTTCACAGGTCTCTGTGAAAATACACATAGAACATGTTTTACAAAACAAAGCAATAAAATAGAATAGAAAATCCCCCCTCCCCATGTACAACTCTATTGATACTTTATGAATAAAATAAATTCATCCTCCACTGGACTGATGGAAGCAGGGTCTCTGAACTGGCATTCCTCTGTCTGCAGTCTCACACCACAGCAAGAACAAGTTGACAGGACATCTAAAGGGCCACCTTGTTCCAGTGCAGCGTTATCAGTGAGCTCGGCCGAGAGGGAGGGGCACACAATCCGTAAGACATTTTTATAAATGTACAATTAACATTCTAAAACAGGTTTTTAACAAATTAGCAATGGCAGCACACAACTATTCAAATGTCCTCGCAAACTGGACTTAAATAAAAGTGCAACGCACAACTTTCAGTAGAAGAGTTAGGAAACAACTGGGTAGACAAAGCGCGTTAAAAATCTGAATGGGTTCTTTAAAATTCATCTATATACCGTAGAAAAAATAGAACATACATCATCAACCTCGACCTCCCCAGTACTACTGCACACTCCAGTCTGTAATGCAGAGGTTACTTTTTCAAAGCACCTTAATAAATAGGCTGGTAAAAACAACATGTAAAAGCTATATTCTCTTCTACCACATTAAACCTAAAGGAATGCAGTTCATAGTTACAGGTAAAGAGGAGGCATAATCAGTGGTTTAAATGGCATCGCTCCCAATCAAAGAAATACTTCGCCCATGTATTATTAGTTTTGTATCCATTTATTATAACCATATAGTCTGGAATGCTGGGGAAAAGTTACTACTGGCCAGTGTGACCAGTTTCTGACATTATTCCACTTTTATGCTCAGTATGTCCAAAACTGTATCAAACTGTGGCAAATCTATCTTTACATTGTAACACATCCGTGTCCACTCAATGTGTATCTTGATCACATTTTTTTAAATTTCAAATGTATGTATTACAGAATAATCTCAACTCAAAGTTAGGGATAGGAGCCTATGAGATGATCAATTCTTTTGTCAATGCCAGCACGT